GACATCTCGGCAGCAGCCGGGGCAATGACCATAACGTCACCTCCACCACCTCAGCCACAACGACCCTCCCGCTAGGCGTCGGCTTCGTCGCCTACGATGCGTCTGCGCTCGACCACTTTAACGAGACCACCCTGCCTATCCTCGTCGAGCACAAGCCGGGCGTGGTATGGCTCTTTGCGCCGTCCCCAGAGAGGCCGGAGACGATCCGTAAGATCATCGAGAGCCTGCGAAAGGCAGCGGACACCTCTGCTGCTGCCACGGGGTCCAACGAGGCATGGGACCTGCGTATTGCCGTGCAGGTTGGCACCGTCGAGGCCGCGCGCAAGGCGGTTGAGGACGGTGCCGACATCATTGTCGCCCAGGGCATCGACGCCGGAGGTCATCAGTTCGCCAGTGGGGCCGGCGTAGTGAGCCTCGTGCCCGAGATTGCTGACATGCTGGCTGCTATGTCGCGCGAGAGCCACGCGAGGGAGATCGCGCTGTGGGCGGCCGGCGGCATTGCCGACGGGCGTGGAGTGGCTGCTGCCCTGGCCTTGGGTGCTGACGCAGCTGTCCTTGGGACGAGGGTGAGTTGTCTTTCCAAGTGTAGCCCCAGTGCTTGTGTGCTGACCGTGGCGGTCTTGCGTTTAGTATATGGTCGCGATCGAGTCTGATACGCAAGACTACAAGCGGCAGGCGATCCTGTCGACTTCAGACGGCGGCCAGAACACTGTCAAGTAAGCACACTCTTCCATGAACAAGACTTAACACGAAAATTGAAAACCAAGGCTGGGCTAATAAGACATGACAACAACAGGGCATATATCCACGACCACGTCCAGGGCAACCACTCCTGGCCAGAGGTCTACGATGGGCGGGCGCTCATCCACCCATCTTACATGGACCATGTCGCCGGGATGACGCTGGATGAGAACAAGGCGCTGTTTAAAAGCGCCAGGGATGGCGGTGAGCTGTCGAGGATGGTGATCTGGTCGTAAGTGGCTTTCCTCTCCCTACGTGCAGTGAATCATCAGGCCATATGCTATATCAGCCACACCGGGAGCAAGAGCTACACTAACGTATTCACTGGCATTAGGGGTACTGGCGTTGGGCTCATCAAGAAAGAGCAGCCAGCTGCAGAGATCACGAGAGAGGTCCGCGAGGGGGCGCTGGCGGCTATTTCCCGACTCAAATGATTGTTTGTTTTTTCATTCACGAGGAGTCTGGGGGTTGTGGTCTCCAACTGAGCCCAAACCACCACGGATGGCTAGCACGCCATCAAACAGAGAACAGGAGCCTTTTGGTCCGCGAAGCTAGCCTTACACTGGCCATGGGGACATGGTGATTGTATTACAGTCGCAAAGTCAATTTGAGAGGGAGGGTATCCTTGCAATAAATACATGCATCTGCCAAGAAATCACATCATGCCATGGCTGCAAAGAACAACCAAATTCGCAGTTCCACCACTCAAAACCTTCGAGCTCAAATAAACGACGTGGGCGCCTGCATCGGGAGACCCCGGCACGAGACCCCCATAGCGACGACCCCAGGCGCGGGGGAAGCCTCTTGACCACCTCTACCGCGCGACGCCGAGCTCGCGGCCGTCCTGGGCGGGCTGCGTGGCAACACACTCTCGATTTCCCTGCTGCTACCGCTCTGGCAGTCCATAGTAATGATCCCGCCTGACTTGGCAAGAGAGGACGAAACTTCCCCACTGCCACGCGCCTTCACGGGCTCCGGTATCCCTGCCGAGTAGCGGTGCAGCGGAAGACCGCCGCCGCAGATGTTGTCATCCTCGTCTGGGTCGACGAGTCGGAAGCGGTCGGCGAGGGACTCGGGCTTGGGGTTGAAGCGCCAGAGACGGGTGCCTGGGTGCTGCGGCGTGCTGGAGAGGTTATTCGTGATGAACGACGGGCCTGCAAAAACAGCAGTCAGCAATTGACTGTCAACTCGACTCGAGGCAAAAAAAAAAAAAAAAAAAAAGAGAGCACATATAAAACAACACTTACAAAGCCCCGAGGCCAGCACAAACGCCCCCCAAAACCACCACCCGAGCGCCCCGACGACGGGCACCCAGACCACGACGGCGAGCACGCGCGCAGGTGACGCCACGCTGTCCACGTCGGCCCCGTGCTCGCCAAACACGGCCACCAGCGCGCCGCGGACCCGGGCCATCTCCAGCGCCGAGCTGAGCACCCACCCGTGCGAGAAGGCGCACGCGGCGGCGCACCCGGAGACGCTCAGCATCCACCGCCGTGCGGGGCTCGCGCGGTCGGCGGCAGACTCGATGAGCAGTGCGGAGAAGAGCAGGGCGAGGATGAGCATGTGCGCGCCGCTTGGGACGGCGACGATCCTGGACGGGTCGAGCGCCAGGGGCGCGTAGACGGATCCGGCCCCGCCGCACAGGTCCCGTGCGCCAGAGAGGTTGTCGGTCGAGACAAAGTACAGGCGCCGGATGAGATACCAGGATCCCAGGACGGTGGTGGCGAAGACGGACGTGGCCAGGATGGCGAGGACGAGGACGTAGCTCTGCGCCGAGGCGAGGGCCTGGTCCGATCGGTGGCTCCGGCGGCCGTCCTTGGTGGTGCCACTGCCGCGGAGGAGGCGGAGCGGGCGGAGCCGGTGCTTAGACCTGACGCCGTCGGACTCGTTGTTGCTGTGTCGGACGTGCCGCGCGTCGCTGGTCTCGATGAGGTGCCGCAGCCAAACGGTGCTCCAGATGATGGCCGACGCAAAGACCTCGAGCTGCACCATGGCGTCAGCGACGACGAGATCCGGGACCGAGGGGAGCTTGTCCGCGGCGCCCGGCTGGGGCAGGCTATTGCCGGGCGTCACGGCAAAGAGCATCGCGTTGGCAATGATCATGATGGGAATGCCGAACGCGAGGTGGACGACCGAGAAGACGGTAAACAGGCTCCGGAGACGCAGCCGGCCGCGCGAGGAGGCGAGGTAGTACGCGAGCAGGTACGGCCCGCTAAAGAGCATTGTCAGAATGGCTTGGAGGAAGGCTCCCTGATGGATCTGTGACGTTGCTGTCAGTTTCAGCGAGATCCGGAGATTAAAGGGGGGTAGGAAGGATGGGACGAACGTCGAAGAGAGGCGGAGGCTTGGCGCCGTAGAGGTATTCACATGTTTCGGGGCAGGCGGCAGCGGCCTGTTTGTAATTCTGGAGCGACTCGATGAACAGAGTCCGTATACTGGCTTGCGTGCATTGGAACGTCATGGTGGGCGATTTGAACTTGTGGTTGGATTACTTTGTCGGACTGGGAGTTAGCTCAACCTCGTCGACAAGATGGCAACGGCTCCGTAGTGTTATAGCTATTGAAGGCATCTCGTGATGATGATTGTACAATGCGCTTCACAGCTAGGAAGAATAACATCCAGTGAAATAAAAGTTGCGTCGTCTTTGGAAACCGTCCCCATAGTCAGTCAAATTCTAAGCCAGCAGCGGCCGACGACAAGCTAAAACCAAGAGAATGCACAATCGGCACATCTTTGCCTCGCCGCAACAACATATCTGACACAAAGAGTTTTGTTTGTCGTGATTCTTCTGCATACTTGCCAGGGTTTGCTAGCAACTGCCATTCATCTCTCGTCCCCGAACTTGCCAACCACGCCCTCAAAGAGCTGCGGCAGGATCTCGGCGGCGTCGCCCTGGAAAAAGAAGTCATTTCCCGTCAGCCCATCGGCTGAGTCGGGGTCGGGGTTGATGACGGCCACGACGGCGCCCTTTCTCTGCGCCTTGCGCGTGTACCCAGCCGCCGGGTATACGGCCGCCGCGGTCCCGACGACAAGCATCAGGTCGATGCCGCCCTGGCTGATCCAGTTGTCGACGCCCATGAGCATGTCGCTGTCGAGCGACTCGCCGAACCAGACGACGCCCGGGCGCAGCAGGCCCGTCTTGCAGCCGGGGCAGTGCGGCAGGTCGGCCACGCGGATAGGCGGCACGGGGATGCCCGGGTCGAGCAGCGGCATCGTCTGATCTGGCGGGAAGTCCTCGGCTGCGGGCGCGAGGGCCGGGCACAGCGGGTCGTCCGTGTTATTGTGCTGGACGTAGCCGCACTCGTCGAAGCACTTTAGCGTGAGAATGTTGCCGTGGAGTGGCTTGAGCTGGGCCTCGGGGTGTCCTGCCCGTTGGGCAAGGCCTGGGAGGGGAGCATTGTCAGCAGGATGATGATGATGAGTAGTTTTGCTTTCCTTTGCAGCAGTGAATTGATAATTAGTCTAGTAACGAACCACATATCACTCACCGTCGACATTCTGCGTCAGGCACAGGAAGTTCTCCTTCTTCTGGGCCAGCTTGGCGAGAGCGACATGCCCACGATTCGGCTCTGCCTTGAGAGCCATGTGCCGCCGCCACGCATAGAACAGCCACACGAGCGCTGGGTCAGCCTCGAAGGCGTCCGGGGTGGCGAGCGACGTGGACTCGTGGTTGCGCCAAAGCCCGCCTGCCCCGCGAAAAGTCGGCAGGCCCGACGCTGCTGACAGTCCGGCCCCGCAGAGGGCGAGCACGCGGTTGCTCGAGGTCACGAGGTCGCGGAATTCGGAGATGGAGGTTTTGTACGTCATTGCGCAGACGTTGTTTGGTTGAGATGATGTGAAAGCAGCTCGCAAGGGCATAAGGCGCGGCCAAAGAGCTCGTATCATTGCAACATCGAAACAGGTAACAGCAGGCAACAATTGCTTATCTGACCTGCATGAAGCTCCGATGCTTCGATCTCCAAAGGGCTGAGCGAGGACAAGGTGGGGGTCGAGTTTGGAGACGGCACCTCAGAAGGGAGATATTTTGTAAAGCAAGACAGTCAGATAAGACTTGTACGCAACGTAGTCCTCACAGTTTCAAAGTGGAACTGACAGGAGAGACAATAGCTGCTGTGTTGACTCGAGTTGCGAGGTCGTTCTTAGACCAGGCTGCTGCGCCTTTAAACGTCGGCTCTTTTACGATGGCTTTATATACACCGATAAGTTGCTGCTCTTTCAAGTAACCAATTCCGACCAGTCAGAAAATGACTGGATTCACAGCTCGGTTAGCTCAGTTGGTTAGAGCGTCGTACTAATATCTTGCTTACGTAACATATAAAGTCATGCGAAGGTCATGGGTTCAACCCCCATACTGAGCAATTATTTTTGCCGTTTTTGAGACTTTTTTGTCGTGCGGAATTATTGTCGTGATGCCCGGAGATGGTGTTTTTGTTGTTGGAATCGTGTTCTGCGGTTGTGGTGGTGGAATTGGCGCTGGGTTGCACGCACGGGGCAGGAAGAGAGCGGTGCACGCTGTGGCCTGGATCGCACCTGCCTCGGACAGTCCGTGCCTTACATAGGGCAACTGCCGCTCCGCCGGCTTCGGAGCTCTTGCTGACCAGAGAGCTTCGGGGTCTTCCCAGGTTCATCCATCGCATGAATTTCTTGGGCGGTGCGGCTGAAAGCTGTCGGTCGCGCTGAGCACAGCACCTCGCCCAGGGTCCCCAATAGCACCATCTGCCCGCAGGATGACGGCGATTAGCTCATATGCGGCACACTTGCGCAAGCGCTGCTGCGGGGCCGGCCGGCGTTGGATCCCGACAGCTCTGGACAGCAGCTCCGATGCTGCCGCTCGAGCGCGTGGCCCCCGGCCATCCCAGCGCCGCGGGGGTCCACCACCCACCCCTCCTCGTCCTGTTATCGCATTCCGGAGGACTGGGCTGGTGTCTGCTTTGAAGCTCCTCTCCTCCTCCTCCTCCTCTTCTCCAGAAAAGAGCCAGCTAGCAGAGACCACACAATGGGCGGCGCTATACCACCACCGACGGCGTCCGAGCAGTCCGGTCCGCCCCCCGACACCGGCACCACGCCGCTAAACCACGACCTCGACGGCCACAAGGTCGTCATCCTCTCGCCCTTCAAGGAGGACCCGTCCTTTGCCGAGCGGCTCGCCAAGCGCTTCCCAGGCCTCGCCGTTCAGCACATCGACTGGGACGTTTGGCGCAAACCCGGGGTTCCCACGGCAAAGGACCTCGAGGCCATCGGCGCCAGCGATATCGACTGGTCCACAGTGACAGTGTTTGTGACGGGGCCTGCCTTCCCCGAGATAGCTCAGGTGCCCCGGCTCCAGCTCGTGCAGCTCCAGAGCGCCGGCGCAAACTACGTCCTGGACAGGCCCATCTTCAAGGATACCGACATAGCCTTCTGCACGGCCAACGGGGTGCACGGGTGAGTTTTCCTTGCACAGGGCGTTGCGACTCGTGTCCAAGCAGCGGCTGACTTGTCTGTTCACAAACTGCAGACCGCAAATATCAGAATGGGTCATTGCCACGTTCCTCGCGTACCAGCACAAAAGTGAGCCGCTCTTGACAAGTCAACTCCCCGGACTTGAGATCTGACCTCGACAAACAGTCCCCTACTACCTCGACAGGCAAAAGGAGGCCAAATGGGCGCGCGACCCGGACATCAAAGAAGAAATTGACGATACGGTCGGCCAGCGCGTGTAAGTCCCTCTCCCTCCCGATCCCACCGGACGGCCAACGGCCCGCGTCTAACCCCTCCCGTTCTCGCAGAGGGATCCTCGGCTACGGCGCCATCGGCCGGCAGGTCGCCCGCGTCGCGACGGCCATGGGCATGACGGTCCACGCCTACACGAACCGCCCACGCACCACGCCGGAATCCCGGCGGGACCACGCGTACTGCCCGCCGGGGCTTGGCGATCCGGACGGCACGTTCCCGAGCCAGTGGTTCTCGGGGGACCTGGATGCATTCTTATCGTCCGGTCTGGACCTGCTCGTCATCGCGGTCCCGCTGACCCCCGCGACTACGGGGCTCATTGGCGCGCGCGAGCTCGAGCTGCTGAAGCCCTGCAGGGCGTACGTGAGCAACATCGGCAGGGGCCCCGTGCTCGTCACCGACGCGCTCATCGAGGCCCTGGACAAGGGCTGGGTCCGCGGCGCGGCGCTCGACGTCACGGACCCGGAGCCACTGACCGACGGGCACCCGTTGTGGGGCAAGGAGAATGTCATTGTCACGCCGCATGTCAGCGGGCACTCAAAGAGCTACAGCGCGAGGCTCAGCGAGATCCTGTTTGCGAACCTAGAGAGGCTGAGCGAGGGGAGGGCAGACTTTTTGAACCGCGTGGACAAGGGGAGGGGGTACTAGGAAGGGGGAAACAGGAACGAGTTTTCTTTTCCGGGGGACATTGTAGCAAGCTTCACCAAGACTCTGCATCCTCTCTTGATATTTCGAGCTTATTTGTCTATCTCATAAGTCTTAAACCACAGCCCTCAACACGTCGTCGACGGCAGCCCAAACACCCCCGTCAGCCCAAAGGACCGCGCCCGCGACTCCTTGACCACCATCTGCGTCGCGAGCTCGCGCTCCGTCGCCGTCTGTATGCAGGCGCTGTAGAGCAGGCAGCTCAGCGACCATATCCCGTGGTCCTGCTCGTGGTACTCGTCGGCGCCGCGCGGCGCCAGCTCGAGCGACTTGTCTCGCAGGCTGCTCGCCGCGATGGAGCCCGGCACAGGGCCCCGGGTGGCCCACCAGTATAGGTGGCTCCAGGGCTCACCGCCGGCCCAGAACGCGGCGTCAAACGGCGCTGTGTCGGCGACAGAGACCCGCAGGAACATGACGTACGTCTTGACCAGGCGGACCGCGTCGTTGATGCGGCAGTCTGCGTGCTGCCCGCTCTCGCGCTGCCACAGCCGCGAGGCGTGGTACGGGTTGACCCAGCTCCGCACCGAGCCCAGGTCGCCCAGCAGCCAGTGTGTGTCGGTCTGGTCTGCGCCCGTCTGGGAGGAGAAGGTGGCGACAAAGATGTTTTCGGGCTTGATGTCGTCGTGGCAGAGCTTGTAGTCGCCGTGGACCTTGTCGAGCGCCGCGAGGAGCCGGTTGAGTGAGGGACGGAATTTGGCGTCGAGCTCGCGGTAGCCGTAGCCGAGGGCCCGCAGGCGGTCTGCGAGGTGCAACAGGCTGCCGCCGTCGAGGTGTGGCATGACCAGGTGCCAGCTGGCCTTTGCGTGGTTGGTGGGCGACGTCAAGAAGTAGTCTTTGACTGGGAGGAAGTCGTCGTCGTCGAGCAGGCTGTCGCGCATGCCGCCGAGCAGGATCGAGGCCGGGATCTCTGCGGGCCAGCGCGTCTCGATGGCGGCGCCGGGGACGCAGTTGCGCAGGGGGCTGCGGCGGACGTTGAAGGTCTTGATGACGGTGCCGTTGAGGCGGAAGATGTCACCTTCGACGCCGCCGCCGAGGCGACGCCATTGGTCCTGGTGGTCGAGGACGTGGCGGGAGTCGTGGGTGTCGAGGCTGAGGGCCCAGTTGTGCTTTGCGATGGCGTCGGCGGTGGCGTCGAAGCGGCGGTCGAAGCGGGTGGGCGAGTACTTTGCCCAGAGGTCGTGGCGGGCAAGGTAGTGGTGGTAGAGGAGGTAGAGGGCGGTGATGGCGAGGCTGGCGGCGAGCAGGGCGCGCAGGCGCGGGCGGCGCCTCAGCTCGGCGCGCAAGGGACGGAGGCGGCGCTGGAGGTCGCCATGGATCATGGCAGGCAAGTTGTCGGGGCGCAAGGGAATCGCCAGTGGTTGCGCATGCTGCGGCAGAGGTGAGCGAGGCGAGCGAGGCGCGCCTCAGAGTCCCGGCGGAAGAGACGGTCGGGGAGGTGGCAGGCCATGGGCGAGAGGCGCGAGAGGCACAGAGCGGTGGTTGGCTTGGCAGGCTGACAGGCAGGCACCCCGCAACAACCTGCTGCGCCTTCCTCCTTCCTCCTTCCTTGTCAGTCTTGAGCATCGCCAGAGTCGCCTCCACCTCCCCTCCACCTACACCACAGCTACATCAAGGCCTGCATCCTCGTCTCCTGCTCCCCTCGCCCGCACCAGCCATGCCTCGCTGCCTCGCCCTCCCGCCATGGCCCGCATCGTCATGTCTGCCGTCCTGACCCTCACCCGCCTGTTCGTCTTCTTCGTCGCTGCCGTTGTCCCCGCCGTCCTCGACTACATCGCCAACCGCATCGGCAGGGTCTGGCTCGTCTTGCTGGCCACCGTTGTGGTCCGCAACGGCCGCCTCGTCTTCCCGTTCGCCCTGCTCTGCGAATGGCTGGTCGGCATTACCGCGCCCACCTGGGTCTTCACCACCAGCTTCACCCTCTCCCAGTTCGCCCACTCGCTCGTCTTTGCCGACCTCAACATGCCCTACGTCGAAGCCTGGTACCATCTCTTCCACCAGCCCGTTTTCCCCGCCTGCTACCTCTTCTTCTGCGTCTTGCTACATTATCCGGTATGGACCATCGACACCCTATGCTCTGCCGTCTCCCAGGCCCCCCACTGGCTGTGGTCGCGCACCACCGTGGCGGCCTGTCTCGGCCTGCTGTGGAAGGTCCCCGTGACTGTGCTGTCCCTTCGCGTGCTCGTGCTCTGGCTCAAGGCCCTATGCCAATGGCTTTGGTTCGCCTCTGGTGAGCCTGCATGGCGTGCAGCAGGCAAGGCCGTCTACGACAAGAGGCTCGCCATACAGAGCTGGAGAGACGGCCGGCCCGTGCAAGAGCTCGAGCCGCCCGACGATACCAACGCCACTCTTCAGGCAGATCGGGAGCCCTTCACCCACAGGCCATTCACGAGCACTAGCCAGATCCGTCTGCTTCATATTCTGCCCCGGGGGAACTCAAACGTTGTTCGCTGCTCCATGGTGCACGTGGACCTAGACCACGAAGTACCCGTGTTCGAGGCCATGTCCTACACCTGGAGCAACCCCAAGAGGACGCATACCATCTACATCGATGGCCACCCGTTCCGGACGACCAAAAATGCCCATGATCTCCTTTGGGACTGCTCGCCACTTTACAAGCCTCGGCCTGTGTGGATCGACTCAGTTTGTATCAACCAGGACGACCTGGCTGAAAAGAGCTTGCAAGTGCAGCGCATGGCATACATCTACAAGAGGGCTGTCCGCGTAGCCGTCTGGCTGGGGACTGCGCCCAACGCTGCTCTCGCGGTGAACCTGATCCTGGAGCTGAACTACATTATCGAATATGAAGACTTTAATGACCGTGTTCTGTACAAACGCTACAGCTCGCAGAGGCAGTCGCCGCGTTGGCTAGCGCTTGGAGACCTCCTCGAACATTCGTACTTCACGCGCGTCTGGATGGTACAGGAGACCTCGGCCCAGAAGG